AACCAAAAGACAGTGGAAAATGCTTTTTTTGATGTTCTAGGCAACAATGACAGGTTGTTGACTATGTGCTGCAGGATCTTCATCCCAGGTCACTGGTACACGTCAACACACAACAGCTTTGTTCTTTAAGGCTAATGTGTGCTGATACTACAAGATTTTTTTAAGAGTTGAAAAATGGTATTGACCCCCTCTGCCTAGGTAAGGTGAATACAGTAAAAAAAAGAGTTTTCTATTAAAAATAATTCTTTTTGTTTTACTTTACAACTTATTCTGCAAGTTTTTGCAATTCTACAAATTCTTGATCGTAAATAAACTTTTCTATAAATTTATTTAAAGCTTTAAAAATACTTTACATTTATATCATTCATACTACATTATTTTATCTTTAAAAGCATTATCTTAGTGAAAATATGAAGATGTTGCCAGAGGATCACTACAAAATTCCAGAAATCTTGCAGCCATTCACTTTTTTTCAAGAAAATCAAGAATTTGAATTTTCTTTTTCAAAAAACCGATTGCATTGCTGCTCATTTTCATTTCCTGAACTTGACATCAATCTTAAGACATTTTAGCAATTGAGAGAGGATGACAAAAAAAAAAAAAAAAAAAAAAAGTTGAAGAGACTCACTTCATCTAATATTGAATGCTAGCATCAAAAATTATGAAATTTTTTTGCTGTAGAAAATCAGAATTTGAGCAAAAGTAAAGTTTATGAAAAATTAAAATTTGAAAAAGTAATAATTACATAAGTATAAATAAATGACAAGTCAGAAATATATAAATATAAATACAATTATATGATTTTGAAATTTTTACTTAATATATATTTTTTACTGTATTCACTTCTCAAAGGTCACAACGGCCAGGGAAAAATTTATGAAAAATTAAAATTTGAAAAAGTAATAATTACATAAGTATAAATAAATGCAAAGTCAGAAATATATAAATATAAATACAATTATATGATTTTTAAATTTTCACTTAATATATATTTTTTACTGTATTCACTTCCCAAAGGTCACAACGGCCAGGGAATACTCTGTTTTATCCTGATGTGTATAATTCATACATAAACTTTCCTTGATTTAAAAATAATCAAAAAATAAAAAATAAAATTAACGTTTAATAAACAAACAAAAAAATAAAGTACAATTTATTACCCCTTCCATGAATTCCATTACAACTGAGATTGTTGTGTTAGTATAAGTAGTACCATAATATTTCACAATTCGTTCATGGTTTAATTCTTTAAAAAGTAAAACTTCTTGTTTAAATTTTTTAACTTCTTGTTTTGCTTTAGCATTATTATCAATATTTTCAGTCTCAATACATTTCATGACTAAACTTTTGCCTGTATTTTCACTTATGCAAAGATAGACCTAAAATAGAACCAAAATTTTATCAGACACTGATTTTATTGCACAAAGACATACTCACTCTCAATTTATAAATAAATTTATATTTTTTTAATATAAACAACTATATAAATAATTATATAAGTATATATATATTTTTATATAAATAATTATATAAATATATATTTTTATATAAATATATATATATATATATATATATAAATATATATTTTTATAATATATATATATATATATATATATATATATATATATATATATATATATATATATATATATATATATTATATATATATATATATATATATATATATATATATATATATATATATATATATATATATATATATATATATTAGTGACTCTTAAAACAACTTTTTTTGAAATTGTCTGCTGCCACCCCCTAAATGTGTTTTGTGTAATAACTTAATACTAAATTTAAAAAATTTTTGAATAAAGTAAATCTTGTTGGGTCTTAAAAAAAGTGAAATGTTATAAAAAATTTTAAAATAATAAAAACAATTTTGGAAACACAAATTAAAAAGGTTTATTAAAAAAAATTTTGAAAATATGTACTTTTTTATTGTTTGTTAAAAAATGATAGTTTTTAAGCCATAAAATTTAAACTAGTAATCTTTATATAAAATTATTATTTTTGAAATTTTTATAAAATTTCACTTCTTTTGAAACCCAACATGATTAACTTTTAAACAATAAAAAACACTTTTAAAGAACTTTTTTTTTCAAAATATTGGGACTCGTCTGATGTTTCTTGAGGTCTTGAGCAACCCCTAAAAAATTTTTTTATTCAAATATTTTTTAAATTTAGTGTTAATTTATTACATAGAACACATTTAGGGGGTGGCAGCAGACCATTTCAAAAAAGGTTGTTTTTAGAGTCACTAATATATATATATATATATATATATATATATATATATATATATATATATATATATATATATATATATATATATATATATATATATATATACCACCATTTTTATATGGGAGTCTGTTGAAAAAAAAGGGGAAAATAATAAAATAAATTCTTCCAAAAAATTATGGTTTGGAAAGACATTTCAATCTGTATTCAAAAGTTTCATCACTAATTCCACAATAAATAGTGAGATTTATCAAAAAGAGGCCTAAAAAACATTTAATGCTACTATGAAATGCAATTTTTTTACCTGACCTAGCATCTTTTTATTACTCCAAATCCACATTAAACTTCTACAATACCATATATCAATTAGTATTCAAATATTGATTTCATACCTAGAACACACAATCCTGCAATTTGTCCTAAACTTTTTCCAATTGAGCAATATTGAGTGATTTTTTGAGCTAGGTTTTATAAGAAGTTTAGGGAAGCAAAAACAGTTTAGGGAAGTTAAAACCACAGATGCAAATATCTCATGGCTCCCATCATGAGAAAAATTAAAACTTTTTATTGTACTGAAGAAAATTAATTTTTTTGTTTATTAATTTTTAATTGTTCTTTATATTAAGTGTTAATTCTTAATTGTTCTGTATATTAAGTGTTTAATAATTAAAAAAAAAAAATTTGTAGCTCATTCCAATCATTTTTAATTCCTAAAAAAGTGTATGTATATATCTTTATATGTATACACCTGATGCTTTACCTTTGTCAACCTCAAATTTTTATTGAGTCTTATTAATTATTGGGATTACGCCAATAATTAATAATTGACAATAATTATTGACTTTTATTACTTTAATAATTTGAGTGAAAAGAATTAGGATGGGAATATGTGAAAACGATCTAACCTAAGAATATGTTGAAAAAATTGATTTGTTGAAATTTTATTAAATAATATTTGATAACAAATAACAAATACCATTGTAATATTTACCATTTATTGTAATATTAAATGTCATTGTAATATTTACACAATAGTGAAATTTACTTGAACATTGAAGATTTAATTAACAATGATTTTAGGAGATTATAGATTTTGCATTTTTAACCCTTATAATTGAAATAATTGTATAGTTTGGGGTATTTAAAAACATAACTCCAACATAAAATGCAAAAGAACTACTCCAACATAAAGTGCAAAGGAACTACTCCAACATAAAGTGTAAAGGAACTACTACAACATAAAGTGCAAAGGAACTACTACAACATAAAGTGCAAAGGAACTACTCAAACATAAAGTGCAAAAGAACTATTACAACATTATTTATTTTATTGCATAATATTTTTTAAAGAATTCAAAGAATTTCTCAAAAATTTTGCTTTGGAGTTGGAGTCAGAGTTGGAGTCGGAGTTACGCTAAAAAAATTTGAACAACTGGAGTTGGAGTCGAAGTTGTACTCAAAAAATTTGAACAACTGGAACTTTTTTTTTATGATTCCACACCCCTGGTTACAAGGCATTGTAAACATAGCAGTTCAACCATAGTCACATTGTCATAATATTGCTTTTCTTTCTTATTTCTATAAATACTATAATGGGCGCTATTCTAAAGAGCTAACATCTCTTGTGCCAATTATTTTCAGCCATTCAAGAAAGATTTTAAATTACAAATGCATTGTATCGCAAAACTTAAGATTTTCAAATTACTAGATTGTATGGTGGTGTATGGTGTATGTGGTATATGGTATTAAATGTGTGGTGCAACACCGTAAGTGCTGCTGAATTGCTGTTGTAAGATAATTAGCATGTAATGCATCTAATATGTTGTTGAATGAAATTTTGGTTGATCACCTGTAAATAAAGAGCTTCTCTAAAAAACTACTCGCCAGTTTTATAGAACATTATTGAAGTAAAATACCATTTATCAACAAACATAAAAATTTACCTTTCCAAATGCAGATGACGCTAATATTTTTACTTTCTTCAACTTAGATATAATACTTTCGATACTTAATTCATTCATATCTATAGTAAAAAAAGTAAGAATAATATTTATGTACATTTAATAATTAAATTTGATTTTTCCTGAAAAATTTAATAATTAAACTTGATTTTTCCTGAAAAATTTAATAATTAAATTTGATTTTTCCTGAAAAATTTAATAATTAAATTTGATTTTTCCTGAAAAATCTTAATTGAATTAGAATTCAGTTAAATGTTTATGCCTAAAAATATTGCAACACACTGAACACCAACATTAGTAAAATTTAAACTTATTTAAATTCTAAACATACATAAACTTATCCAAAAGCATTTTTAATCAATTCTATAATGTTTTATATTTATAAGTCAAATTTATTATTATTTTTAATTTTTGTTTTGCCAAACAAATCATATTAAATATTTCAAAATAAGATAAAATATTCTTCAGGAAACTTACTAAAGTACAAGTACTAAAAGTAAATAAGTAAATAATATAAATAATAAAAATAATAAAATAAAATAATATAAATAATAAAAATAATAAAAAGTAAATAAGTAAATAATATAAATGTAAGTAAATAAAAAAGTAAAAGTAAGTACACATAGTAAATACAACAGTCAGTAAAAAAATACAGCAGTTAGTAAAAAAATACAACAGTCATTAAAAAAATACAACAGTCAGTAAAAAAATACAACAGTCAGTAAAAAAATGATAAATGATAAGTAAAAAATACAGGGGTTGAGATGAAGAAAATTACCAAACATGTTTGTAATTAAATAAACAAATTGAACTTATAAAATTATAATATTGTTGTCATTGAGAGTGATTATGGATGCTCAAAATAATGTCAGCGAGAGCAATTGTGAAATTTTCAAATTGCTGAAGACTGTGCTCATAAAAAGCTTTTTATTTGTTATACATTGTTCTTTTGTCAACAAATGTTTAGTATCTACAACAGCGCACTCATGACACTACTTCAACAAAGTAGATTTTTATACTTTACAACTTCTATTGTGTGCGCCAGATAGTTATTATTTTTAACTTTAAAAAAAAATAAACCAAGACCAAGCAAAAACGCAAGTGCAAGCTCTTATTGATTTAGCATTGAAGAATAATTTAATGACTTAATTTTTTGCTTTCGTTGTTTTGATATTTAAAATTTTGTATTTAAAAAAATTATACTGTGACTTAACTAAAACGGTTAACTTTTTTTTTTTTATTGAAATTATTTAATAAATTTTTTTTCTAATAGTTAATAAGTGATAATTAAATTTCTTTTCTAATAATTTCTAATTTAAATAAATTATTTATTCGTCAAATAATTAATAGATAATAATAAAAAAAATAGTTTGAAATTCTTTTTCTTCAAAACTATTTATTAAAAGTTAAATAACAGATTTTCCTTAAACAGTTGTCAACGGTCCACTTTTTCATTTTCAAAACTGAATGCTGCTAATTCGTCAGTCATGTCTTCATCAGCACTGCCTATTTCATCATTGTCATCAAGAATTTGATTTGTAATCAATGTTGTTGCTATTGTCATATAGTAATCTGGATCATCATCAACTCAAACCACTCCTCTCTTATTTAAATAAATTTCTTTCAAACGTTTTTTAATCAAGATTATTTCTTCTTTTGACCAGCTTTCATGGTTTCCTAATATCATAATGCTATCATTTAGAGTATCGTGATTTATAAATAAGCATTGATGTGTTGAAGCATTGAAATATTAAAAGCAATAAATCAAATAAATCTTTTTTGATGTTTTCACCAAATTAAAAATATTCAAAATATTTTATTTTTCTTATAGTGATTTTCTAGTTTTCTGTTCTTATTTCATTTGCACATTTTTGCAATATATTGTAAAATGTCAACTACTTTAACCAAGTGCACGTGAAAACATGCAAATATGTTTCCACTTGCATGTGGAAACATGCAAATATGTTACCAAGTGCACGTGGAAACATGCAAACATGTTTCCACGTGCACTTGGTTAAGGTAGTTATTAGCGCTTCAATAAATTATATCTTACTTAAAATTTTTATTAAGAAAATTTTACAAAAAACAAAATATTATTTGTATTTGTAGAATTTCATTAAAAACTATATTAAAAACTGTAAAAAAACAACAGCAACAAATAACTATAAAACTTTAATAATTTGTGAAAATTATTTTATTTATTAAAACAAAAATCTAAACTTTATTTTTATATATCAATTAAAAACTTTTTAATAAAATATAAATTTTAACCGACTAAACTATTTATTCTAAAATGTACTTGGCAGGCCTGCCAACTCCATTTTAGACAAGTATTTCACCGCTTGCGCTCTCATTTACTTCTGCCGAGGCTTTATATATATATTATTATATATGTACATATATATATATATTATATATGTACATATATATATATATATTATATATGTACATATATATATATATTATATATGTACATATATATATATATATTATATATGTACATATATATATATATATATATATATATATATATATATATATATATATATATATATATATATATATATATATATATATATATATGTATATATATATATATATATATATATATATATATATATATATATATATATATATATATATATATATATATATATATATATATATATATATATATATATATATATATATATATATATATATATATATATATATATATATATATATATATATATATATGTATGTACATATATAATATTCGTTCGTATTCTTTTTTCTTTTTTTTTTATATATTTTTATATAAAAAATTATAATATAGAAATTATTATACAGATATATTTAACTACGTTCAAGAAATATAACTTTATTTATTAGTTATTTGTTGGTAATTTTAGTAATTTCAGACAAAAAATTAAAAGTTTCTTGTTTTTAATTTGGTTTATTTGCATAAACCTTTACCTTCTACTATATTCATATATATTGAATTAAATTATATAATAACTTGATTGGTTTTGTAAAATTCTGTTAGTCAATAAGTTAAGATTCTAATCTAATTAGTTACTATAGCTTAAACTTGAACTTTACAAATCTAATGAAGTTAGATGTTAAAAAATGAAATTTACAATGACAAAATTTTAAAATTTAACTTTTTTAATAAAATTTGAAATTAACAAAAACTTAATTTTTTTTTTTTTCAATAATTTTAAAGTAAATAACGTTTTTGTAAACACTCTCTTGAAAGTGTAAATCAAAATTTAAACTCTTACCATTAACTTTGTTTGCTTGAATGTCAGAAGCCATAGATTCATACCTAAATAAATACTTTTATTTATAAAATATATAAAAGTCACTAATTCATAAACAATTTTAATCTCAATTTTACTACTGATAAAAAAAACATCATTTGTATGATGGTAGGAAGCAGTAGACTCCATAGTGAAAAGAAGTATTGAAGAGAGAAAACTCTAATATTTATAGTTAATATTTATACTTTAATATTTATATTATAATATACTCATACCTCTAATTTTATTGTGAGTTTATTATTTTATTATTTTAAGTAGAAGAAAAATTTTATTGTTATACTACAACTAGGTGTAAATTAACTAAATTCAACTAGATAGTTACCATGAATAACCATCTAGTAACCATCTAGTTAATTGTTTAGTTTAATAAAAAATAATTAAACTAAACAATTTTTTAATGTCTTATAAAAAACTATACATACTTTGTGTAATTTTTGGTGAAAACTTTAAACTCTTTTTTGCTTCTATATGTACTAAACTTTATTTTAATTCGACGATCAGTGAAATCTTTGCAGTTTTCATTAATTAATAAAGAACTATCTTTAAGTGTCCAAAGTTCATTTTCCTTATTGGATACGTCAACTATGATTTTTTCAACAATATCTTCTGACCAATTATTTAACACGTTTCTAATAGTACTAATTTTATCAAAATTTTTATCTAAATTTTGATCTTTATCATTGTAGTTTATAACTAAAACTATTAAATATGAATTTGATCTTGCCATGGCATCCACAAGAACATGTCGCAGGTAAATCTCATCTGGTCTCACTAATACAACTACAGATTCAGATTCAGCTCCAGAAAACCCTTTACTGTCAGTTACAAGAATATCAAAATCACATGTTAGCTTTTTTGTAACCTCAACTTTTTCAGAAAACGTTGAAGTGTGTTTTTGTAAATGTGGTGAATAAATTACTGATTTATACTTTCCAGTTATATCTATTGCATACGCAACAGATTGAATTTCTTCCATATCATTGCATATTACAACAGTTTTTCTTACCTTGTTAAAAAAAAGGTACTGTAACACAACAGACAGAAATATTGCAGATCGCTTTTTTTTTAAGTCATGAAAAGGAAAAAATACTACCTTGGGTTTTTCGCCTTTAATTGAATGTCCTATAATACTTGATTTAAAACCAAAACTTGTCTCCATAGAGCAGTTTGAAACTTCATTATTAGTTTTAACTGCTACATACTTTGAAACTTGGTCAAAATCATAATCATGAAAACTATTATCAGTTAAACCAATTGTACTTTCTTCTATTTTATTTGATTTGTGATTCACATCACCATCAGAAGAATTATTAACAAAAGTATTATCTAAATCTGTAATTGATGCTTTGCTATTTTGTTGTAGAACCTGATCTTTTTTTTCAGACAAATGTTTTTTATTTATTTCTGTTTTTTTATCCACTTTTAAGTTTGGAAAATTAAAAACAGTTTTTGATTCACAGATAGAACTTTGAGAAGAATCAATTATAAATTTATTACATTCAGTTACTCTCATAGATTTTTCAAGAGTAAAGACCTTCATATCTAATGTTTCTTCATTAAAACAATTCTTTTGTATTATTTGTTTTTCGTTATTTCTGATTATTTCTCTATACTTCTCAACACTTTCAGGTATAAAAACAACTAAAGATTCCTTTAATGTATTTAAAAATAACTTATTTAACTGAATTGCATCTTCATGTTTGACATAATCAGGTGAGAGCTCTTCCAATACAAAGCATACTTTACTTTTTTTATTTTTGTTGGTACCAACCAAATATTCTAGTAATCTTGGAATAGAAATATATTCTTGCTTAATTCTTTTGTTAATACACATTTGTTGCCACAACTCATACAAATTATCACAAACAACAGTAACATTTGAAGTTTTTTCAATAATGTCAACAAACTCTTTCATTTCACATTGATACAAAGAGAAATGATTACAACATATGTAATATAAGGTTAAAGGATGTTCATAGTGCTTTGTTATACAATTTTTTACTATCTCCTTACCAACAATAGATTTACCTGAACCATATCCTCCTGTGATAATTTTTTTAAGTTCTTTATCGTGAATTGCGACATATTGCTCATAGTTAAGAATTAAGGACTCAATCTGTTTTTGAGGATCAAATTTTAGAGTAGGAATATTGATTTTATTCATCACCATATCAACTTTAGCCATAACTATCATAGTTAACCCAATAAGTTTTTTAAAAAATGTTGTATTATTACTTTGAACATTACATAGTTTATTGCTATAAGCACTAACTGATCTCCACCAACACTCAAAATTTTCATTTTTAATATCATCCTTACATAGAAATAAAATTTGTTTCAAGTTAAAAGATTTTTTCTGACTACTCCAACTGTCCGAAAAAAGAAAAAATAACTCTTTATTTAATTCTTCACGATCAATTAAAGGTAAAACAACAACTCCCAGTATAACTAATTCATTAGAATTAATCAAGAGACTATTAACAGTAACAAACAATGTAATATCATTCAAACAGTTCTCAGATTTTAAATTAATGCAATCTAATGAAGTTGCGATACGAGCAATCAGAATGAGATTGAGTTCAGAGTAAAATACCATTATTCTATCTTCATCATTGTGTTTTTTAAAACCTTCAACATTGCAATTTAAAAGAGATGCATGGTAGCGTAAATCGTAACCAGGTAATATAGCACAAATATCTTTTTTTTCTTTAGAAAATAAATGATAAAATTTGTCAATAATCAAGGTTGTAAAATCTTCACCACCAAAAAAGGAATGGACACAAATTACTTCATTTAAATAAGGAAAATTTCTGTTAATGTAAATATCTGCAAATGACTCAATTGACTCATTACAAGGTACTTTAATAAGTTTACTATTGGCAGACTCTCTCCAATTTAAAGATTTTGGCGCTCTAACGTTTTTGCTGAACTCATTGTTAGAAATTGGCGCAGGTGTTGCAATCATAACACTTTTGTAACGTAATTCATAGTCACACTCACCTGAATAAAAAAAAGAAGTAAGTTTTAAAATAAAAACTAAGAAATTAAATCATAAATTAAATGAATAAACAATAGACTGGTTCTTAAGTGCATGACAGTAATTCAAATAGTTTTTTTTCATGAAAAAATTATGTGAACAGTTTGATAAAAAAACCATTATGATTCATATCGGGTGGACACGGAAAAATCCAATCAACTTTAAATTGAGATTTCTTTAAAACCATAAGTGTTTTTTATTTCAACTTTTTTTATTATTAAATATGTTTACATCAATTAGAGTTTTAACTTAATTTCAATGAGCTTGATAGGCTGTTTGGCAAGAGGTCAAATTTTAAAGCGGGTTGATGCTATCATTTCCCAGATTTTTTCTTCTCTTATCATATTGGTGGCATTATTTTGAAGTCCTTTTTATTGTTACTTTACCTGTCTTACCAAGCACTCCTTTAGCTATTGCCAAAAAATCTTTAATCTGACACTCTTTAGAACGATTTGGAGGATTCGCATCTTTAGAAACAACTTTCACATTATTATCTTTGCACCACTGTAGAACTTTTTTAGAACAGTGAGAAGCAGCAAGATCTGGCTAAAAGAGATATCAGTATTAGTTTTTTTTCATAAATGGCAAAAGTCTTTTTTAAAAGCATTTTTTGATGTAGAGGTTTAGTAACAAAACAAAAGGACTGAATACCACAGCTAGAAATTGTTTGCCACAAAAGGAACTTGGATGCAAATTTTTCTCGTCAAATATATTTAAATTGATCATTGACAGGTTTATCTTTGTTCTCATATTAAAATTGATGACCAGGAAGTTGTGAAAAATCCAACTTGCAATGTTTTGTTGACTTTAATTATGCACATACTTTTATCGGCCATTATTTGAACCAACTTCTTTGTGCGTCAAATTCCTTTAATTTCACAGTTGAAGCTTCTCTTAGGTGTATTTTTCTTACAAAATGCATTTTTAAGTACTTTTAATTCCAGCATTTTTAAGTACTTTTTTGATATAAGAACATGAAATTTTGAATTTTCTTGCTAGGTCTCGCTGTAACCTGTTTGGATTTCTTGCTATTGAACGTAAAATTGACTTTACCTTTTAGGATTCATTGAAAGTTTTCTTTCATTTACTTCCAGGTTTTTTTTCGAAGATTTTAGTTGTGTTGAACTTATTTATAATATCTATGACTTTATGTTTTGGGACATTTGTACGTTTAGCAATTAAACGATATGTAGTCGATGGGTTTTTGAAAAAAAATTCACAACTTTTTTATGCACCACAATTTGTTTCCAAAACATTTTGAAAATGAATAATTTGTAAACAAAAGTTTATTAACACAAATAAATATCATAAAGTAAAGTTTAATTAAAAAGATAAAAGAAATAAAAAGCATTTGTGGTTTTAGAGAAATCTCAATTTAAAGTTGACCGGATTTTTCCGTGTCCACCCGATAGATAGCTTAAAACCTTTAAGATTTTCTCCTGATTGAAACTTTTAGCACCATTGATCTTGATTTGGCATAATTTTCTTCCATAATTATTTAAAAAATTCCTATAAATCGGTTTTTATTACAAGGAACAAAAAGAGTTGACAATACAGATTAAATTATAAAAATCTTGAGTTATAATAATTTGTTGTCTAATTATAAGATTTGTTTGCATCCAGAAAATTTGCTCATTTCTGTTTAATAATTTACAGAGCATATTGTAGCTGTTAATTACTCTTAAAGGGATCCCAAAGTGCCGAGACAAGTTGTGTCTATTTCAAAGAGAAAGAGAAAAAAAAATGTTTAGGCAGAATTTTTTTAAGTAAAACAAAATAATAAATGCATACTAACAAAAACAAACTTTGTTGTTTTACTCGAAGCTGGCCGTTTCCATATATTTTAAAGTCTTTAAAATATACGCCACAATCTACAGACTCTATAATTTATTCAAGCGCGTTTAATTTCAAAGAGTTTTAGTAAAATATGTTATTGTAGAATTTCATTAAAAAAACCTGAAAAATCTTTCTTTTTTAATCAAATTATAGAATTTTCTAAATTATTATTATAGATTAGAATATTACTTATTTTATATAAAAAAAAATTTTTATCATAAATTACTGTAGAATTTCTTTAGTTATTTTATTTTCTAACTTTCGCAAAGCTCGCATTGAAAATATAAAACATTTCAGATATTTTAAGCTTGTCTATTGCTATAAACTATCATCCTTATTAAGATTCTGTTAAAAAAATATTTTGTATTATTTAACACTACTGCAGGTGACTGACAGCGGCTTTTGATTTTTTCAAATTTTTACCGCAAACTGCTGGTAGAGTACGATTCACAACTTATCTTTTTTGTACATAAATTTTTTATTCAAGACACATAAAATTTGTTTGTTCTTAAGGTTTAATTCTCTACAAATAAAACATATGTTATTATAAAAAGTTGTCACTTGACAAAGTTAAAAAATCTTCAGTAATCCTGACTTAAAAAACTTCTTTAAATTTAGTTGTAAATAAAGCAGCGTTAACACTGTAAAGTTTAACATCGTTGAAACGAATAGGTATTTAGCTAAGTAATTTAAAACATTTTTTTTTTCGCCTCGAAAAACATTCTTTTTATACATTAAATGAGTTTTGTTTTAGTTGAAATGTTTTAATTACTATTTTTAAGCACTTTGCATTTCTTATTGTTCAATGATGCGTGTTAAAAACTTATTTAAATAAAAAGTTCATTTGTTTAGCTATTTATTGTTATATAGTTTGCTATGCTTTCAAAAAGATTTACAATTCAAATTTTAATTAGTTGTCAATGTTTTTCAAATTTTATTCAAAAAAATGTGTGGTTGTAGCATAAAATTTTTTGTTAAAACAGATGGTAGCGAAAGAATTAACCTTATAAAGTTTAATTAACAGCATTTATTGCTTAACTTTTCATCGTTTTATTCTCAAAATTCTTATTAAATCATGCAAGAATATATTTAATGAAATTTATTTTGTAAAACATGTATGGAGTAAATTTTTAAATTGAAATCGTTTAATGAAAAAATACTTAATGTAAATTTTGGTAGTTTTTTGATTTGTAATTTTAAGAGACAGGTTAATATAAAATAACTGCCAAACATGACATAAATTGAAAAGCATTAAATACAATATGTTTTTCATACCAAAAAATGGCTTAGATAAAGTTAAAAAAAGTTTACATTGTTTACATAAAAAGAAAAAAAATTCGGAGAATCTTTTTATTTTTATTTATTTTGTTTAAGAGTGTAATATAAATATCTTTATTTTATTTGGTTTTCACGCTCTATAAAAAAACATAATAGAATCCTATAAAACAAGAAACTCTTATTACGATTATTACGATTTTTTTTAATACCATTGATAATAAAGGCTATTTTAAAAAACAAATAAAACAACAAATAATATTGATTCAAAAAATTCTACAATGGCGTCATTAACTAAAACTCTTTGGAATTAAACGAGCTTGAATAAATTATAAAGTCTGTAGATTGCGGCATATATTTTAAAGACTTTCAGAGAAAAGCTACTGTGGAAACGGCGAGCTTCGAGTAAAACAACAAAGTTTGTTTTTGTTGATATATATTTATTATTTTGTTTTACTTTAAAAAATTCTGCCCAAACATTTTTTTTTTTATTATTCTCTTTAAAATAAACACAACTTGTCTCGCCACTTTGGGATCCCTTTAAAGTAACCAAATTTTGAAGCATCTTATAAAAGGGTGACTCTTCATTCTGTATGATCTTTCTTCTTTTTTCTGTTCTGACAATTTAATAAAAAGTTTGTGCATTATGTTGAATTTCATCTCGGGATTGAAGAGGCTGAAAAAACAGGAGCATGGTGGTCCCAGAGGCTATGCAGGAATTTTGCATAGAATTTTACTTTTAATCTAAATAACAAGAGCTGATAATGACTTATCTCAAAGCTGTGATCTTATTTTTGTACAAAAGTTGGCACACACGGATAATACTTTTTCAACATTAATAATGCATCATAAAGTTTTTTATGATGCATTATTAATGTTCTGTATGCTGGCTTGTAAATCTTCTGTATGCTGGCTTGTATTCTTAAAAAGAGTAAATTCAGCTTTTAACCATCTGAAATTCTCCTGTTCAAAAGGCACTATTAGTGATTTATTTTTCTTCAGCAACACATACAGTTCCTATTTTAGAGTTAAAATTTTACTGGAAGTTGTTTCATTAATATTTACGTCATGAACACCAAAAAGTCAAGATGCCAACATTCCTGCAAAAATTATCATATCTCTGGATAGGGTTATTGTAGAGTTCTTTAGACAGCGTAATAAATTCATGACATCTGTATTTAGGCGTTCATCAACTTTAATTCTCAAATTATCCATTATTTTTTTGTTAATTTCACTGTTAACTAAAGAAAGTTTCTCAAACATAAATTCTAAAATCGTGTCAGTGCTCAACAGGGTTGCAGTAAACCTTTCAAGGCATCGAAGTCTACATTATTGGCTAAACTTATAATTGCCTTAAACTCTTATAAAGTTTCTCGAATTGTCATCTTTATTAACTCTAAGACTATTGGTATTGTGTTCCAACAAATTTTTAAATCAAGATAAAGTTCAATTTCTTTTCCAAGTAAAGCCTTGACTTTTGATTGAAAAACTTGATTTTGAATACTTGACAGTTTGATGCATTTTATCAGCATGTGTGAGTTCTTACGTAAATTATTGTTGTTAATATAATCTTCGCAATCATCATTTATAAATTCAAAATTGGTGCCTTTGTCAAAAGAATCATTTTCATTGATATCGTCATCACAGGGGTTGCTTAGATCTTCAATATCATGTTTTTTCCTTTAAAGTGTGTCACATACTTCAAGATGTATACCATGATAAAAAAAAAATTGAACAAAAACATCAAAATTTAGAAAATATTTCTTGTTTACAGATGCTCTATCCTAAGTAGATGCAACTAAATCTTTTACATTGATATTATAAACACCTTTATATTATAAACACCTTTAAATGTTATTTCATTATTTCAACCATATCAAGCGCACTGCATGAACCCAAAATTCGAATTAATCCTGTTTTATACACGATATTGTTTTATCATGTATATTTATTCCAAAATATCTTCGTCCTCTTAAAGTAGTAACCTCATAAACAGTCATGTTAAACTTCACTTTATTGGCTCCTTTTAATTTTATGGTGTCAATCATTTTATTTTGCTTTTCATAAAAATCTTTGTGCAAAAAGTTATTACATCACTTTCATAAGCAGAGGTTTAAATCCATCTTGAGCTATTGACTGGCGAATGTATATATTTCTGTTTATAGCTCGAACTGAAATGCCATCTGTAAACAGAAACAATATTTTGAAGAAATATTTTATCAGAAACAATATTTTATCAGAAACAATATTTTGAAGCTTTTTTTGCGAAAAAAAGTCAACAGTTTTTTGTCCCTTCTCGCTTGCTCTCACATCTGTTAGTATGATTGATTCTGTTGCCTTATCTAAACAAAGTTGGTGACTTTTTAGGTAGGTAGGTAGAATTTCCTGAGGGTTAGGTAGGTAGGTAGAATTTTCTTAAAGGTAGTTGTAGAATTTCCTGAGCATTTTATTATTTTGTTACAACTGTCCTTACAACTCTTCTGTATCCAATTATTTTACCGTTCTGTTGTGTATATCCAGACTGAGATTGCTAATAATATGAATAGAAAGTAAGAATATTAAGTAGCCATTTTACTCATCGTTAAAAACTAATTCATAACTAATAACTATGCATTTATTTTTAACTCAATGTAAATAAGAAACTGATGCTAGAAACCCTATTTATAACTCTCAAGACACTCCTAAGAAACCTTTAAGAAACTTATAGTACTAGATTAGTAAAAGGGAACTATTTAAATAGGTAACTCCTTAGTACTTGGCTGTGTGCCTAGTTTTTTTTTATAAAAAATAATAACTACTGAACTAAAGTTAATTATTAATATTACTTATTATCCTAAATTTTAAACTATTTATTAAGTTGTTATTGAAAAATAAATCAAATTAAATACAAATTGCTTTAATAAATGTGTTGTTATATTATTAATAAAGAAACTTTTCTCTTAGCAGTTGTTAATTTTTAAAATATAAATAATTAAATTTTTATCTGAAAGGGTTCGAATAAAAAAATTCGAACATTTTCAGGTTTGAATGAAATTTTATGCATTTGAAACTAATTATAATATTGAAATAGAATTTAAATGTAATGCGAATGCAAATAAAAAGTTCTAGTTTTTAATTTTCGTAGCTTTAATTTCATTTAAAAAAACAGTAAATAAAGTTATTTAAAAAACAGCTGTTTGCTGCTTTTGTTTTTTCGTAAAAAACAGGTGTTTTACATTCATCTACTTGACATTTAATAAAGATTTTAGAAAGATTTATTGTAAAACAAGAAGTGTATTTAACAGTTGCATGCAGTTTGGTTTAAATGATTATGTAACTAATGTAAATAAAAATCTGCTTTGAAATAAATAAATTTAAAAAAATTATTTTACAAAACAAATTTAAAATGCTCAAACAAAATAAGAACCAGAATTTCTGGTTGGAATTTTTTATGAATTTTTTAAAATTTGTATCTGGTCAAGACTATTTTCTGGCCCAGATGCCAATACAACAAACAATACCTGTAATGCTGCAAGTACATTCTTTACAAACTATTTGGTTTTTTGAATCTTGAAACGTAAACCTGAAATAAACTTTTTCATTCTCACATTTCAAACTTTCAACTTTGATAAACATCTGATTGTTTTTTTTTCTTGTCAAGTAGTATGGATGTGATTGCTTTTTAGTACTGATAGACCACCAATCATCATGCTTGTGAAACTTATATTCAACAAATGTACACACTTCATCTCCACGTAAATCAAATTTGAATATACAACCAAATGGAATTTTTCTATGACTTAAAAAAAATAATTTTATTTAACTTATTTCAAAATTACTAACAACTAAACTAAAATAATGCTAACAAAAGTTTAATTTAAGGAAACAAAATTTATATTTTAATTTTGTCTGTAGATAAAGAAAAAAAAATGCAATATATTTTTGCCACAAAGTTTTATTTCTAAATATTTAAAATGATTTTTAAATTTATTTAATTTAGTATCATAATTTTAGTTCAAAAAAAATTATTTGAATTTAGAATTAAAAAACAATAAAACTAAATCCTTCTGTTGATTTTTTTCTACATCTAGGTCAGTAGTACAAGGCCTGATTATATATATATATATATATATATATATATATATATATATATATATATATATATATATATATATATATATATATATATATATATATATATATATATATATATATATATATATATACACAAAATAATATTTATAAAATAATAAATATTTTTAATAAAAAGCGATAGAATAATTTTTATCATCTTTTCGAGTTCTGTTAAAAAATCAAGCCTTTAAGGAAAGGCGTGCGGTTTTTCATCTGATATGACCACACGCGAGTATATTATTTTAGACAACTTGAACACAACCGTTAGCAAGTTTTATAATAATCAATGCTGAAAAAGTTTCAAAAAAAAAAAACTAACAAAATTAAAAGAGATTGAAACAGAAAAAATAAAAACAAATTAAAAATTTAAATAATTTTTGTACTGTTTTTATTTTTGTTTCTTTAGAGTGGTTGTTACATTCAGCAATAAAATTAGATAAAGCGAAGCAAAAAAAAAAGACAGTTTGAAGCCTACAATAAAAAGAATGATTTTCCTTTCCTCAACTTTTTTTTTAAGAGGATAGCAAAAATACAAATTGCAATGTGTTTGTAAAATTTATTTGTATAATTTTTATGTGACAACAAGGGTTGAAATAAGCGAATGCGCAACGCAAAATCTGGAAAAATATCTAGTATTCAAAATTTTAGTTTATACAAAACCATGTTCCTTGGGGAACACGGTTTTGGGGAGAATCAATTTAAATTTGAAAGGGGAGAACTAATTTAAATTTGAAAGGGAAAAAATAAAACAATTAACTTAAGATTACAAAAGTTATAACACTCTAGTCACTAACTGCATTATTGTGTTATTACTTTTATAACGCACTTATAATTTTTAAAATTCATTCTTTGTTCAAGCAACATAAGTAATGCCAAATTTTTAATTAAAGTAGAAAAATATCTAGAAGAAATAATTTAACCCTTGATATAAACTTGTTACATTATAATTATACAAATATATTTTACAAACAGATGATGACACATATTTTCTCTTTTCTTTTTAAAAGAAAAAACACATAAAATATGAGAAAGTCATCCTTTTTAATGCTTAAAACCGTTTTTTTTTTTGTTTTTCTTTGATTGCCTGAATTTTGTTACCGATGATAATAACCACTTAGAAAAAACAAAGTTACAAACAACACACAAATGATTTAAACTATTAATGTTCTTTTCTATTTAAGTTAACTTTCATTTCTTAAGTAGTTAATAAATTTAAAACTTTTTACAGCAACGCATCTTATAAAACTTGATCAAAAATAGTTTAAATTTGGTCAGATGATCTTTTTAACAATTTTTATAGAAAACATTAGGATGCTTGAGTAAATAAATATGAAAAAAATCCGTTGTTGACAATTTTATTTTGATGTATTTATGATATGATATAGAACATTACAGGGTAAAACTTAAAAAACTAATACTAAAACGCAATTATTTATATATTATCCATGATCTTTTTGATCCAAAAGTCAAAAAAGTCGACAAAAATGCTAATCCCATGCATTGCCCCACATTTCTATTTTAGATGGGTGACTCACAGCTTGTACTCTCATTCACACTCCATGCAAACTCATTCATTCCTGCTGGGGCCTAAATATATATATATATATATATATATATATATATATATATATATATATATATATATATATATATATATATATACATATATATATATATATATATATATATATATATATATATATATATATATATATATATATATATATATATATATATATATATATATATATGTATATATATATATATATATATATATATATGTATATATATATATATATATATATATATATATGTATATATATATATATACATGTATATATATATATATATATATACATATATATATATATATATATATATATATATATATATATATATATATATATATATATATATATATATATATATATATATATATATATATTTATATATACTTATATATACATATATACATCTTTTTATAATATCTTCTATTATTTTTCTTTTTGCTTCCATTTTCACTGTTTTTTCTACAGACAGGGCTTTTAAATATTGATCATCAAAATACTTCTTTCTTGCTTGTTTGTGGTAATGTAATAAATCTTTTGTTATTTCAACTTCATGAGCTATGAGCCCATGAAAAATGAGGTAATCTTGGATTAAACGTAAAGAGATGATAGTGTCTGGGGACATATTGTCATCAATCAGACTTTTATTACTGCTAAATCCTCGTTCAACATGAGCTTGTCTATGCAATAAAATGAAGAGAATTTTCAAAATGTGCTGTAGATTTGCATTCATCTTTAAATCAATGTATTTCCACAAAAATTATTATAAACAATCCTTATCTTTGCCAAAAGTCAAAATTACTTCTTTATTTTCAACAAACAAACTTTTACAGAACCTAGAATACTCTTTCTTAGCTAAATCACCAACAGAAGCTCTAATTTTCTTGGAAGTAACAAGCTTCATTAACAGTTTGTTTAAAAAAAGTCACACTTTTCTGGATATTTAACCATAAATAATGGGGAATTACACACCAGACAGCGAGCAACCAATGAAGACAAAGGGTTTTTCTCAATAATATGAGTACACATTGAGACAAGAAAATTACATATTTCCTTTTCGAACTTGTCAATTTGAGCATCAGTAATTTGGTTCGTGCAATTAAACAAATCTATTTTTAACAAAGATGTTGTAGTTTTGGCATTTAAAAGAACATCTAATCGAATGAACTTTGCATAAAAGTTGCGTAGTAGTTCTTCAAGTATCACCACCAGAAAAGGAGTTATTGGTTTATCAGTATCATTGGTTTATTAAAAGAAACTTAAAGAAAAAAAATTGCAAGATTGAAAAAAATATTTCAAATATGTTTGGAAAGAAGTGTTGCAAAACTTTTATATTTTCTTTTAAGAAAATTTCAAAATCAATACTTCAAGTTGTCAAAAAAAAAAGGGGGAGTTTAAAAGGGGGTTCAAAACATTGTGTATTTGTTAAAGAGGGGGAAGATTTGCTATCAAGGTCAAGTTTAGGGTTGTCTGTTAATAACGTCAACAAAACAGGGGGGGGGGGAGGGAGTTTCTAATTTTTTGTTCAAATATTGTTGATGAAGGGGAGAGGGAAGTTCAAGAAAATTTGGACAATCCTACTTGTTTTAATAAATTCAATTATTTAAAAAAATGAAAATTAGGCAGTGTTTCAGCCCTTTAGAGGTAAAGAAAACTTCCAAATTATTAAAGGAGGGGCGGCATTTTTATTTACTTCATTTATTAAATGGGCTGCATTATACAGTAGAATCCATTCCACTTAAACTTTCAATACATACCGACAGCTTTGCTTAACTCAGACATTCGCTAGGTCAGACAATTTATTTATTCCCTTGGGGGTAATTCCATGTCAAAACAACATCAAAAATTCAAAAAAATAACTCATTATCTCTTAATGATTTTTGCAACTAAGGTACTTAACTAGGCTAAAAAGAATTCCCTTAAGTTGTTTTAAACAAATCAAAATATTATAGAAGTTAAGCTCATTTAAAATTTTAAACTTAGTAACATTTTTACTTATCATGTTCCCCTAAGAACGTCCTAAGTAAATGCCGATACATACGTTGTTACCTTAACTATATAATTTCATAATTTGAAATTTTCAGCATATTATTAGATGCTAATTCATAAAAGTATACTAAGAAATAATAATTTTTTTATATTTATTAATAAATCATTAAGAGTAAATCGACATTTTTAATGAAATTTAAAAGTAAACATGCTAACTTAAAGAAGAATTACAGAAAAGGTTATGATTTATATATTTCCAAACTTCATATTCTTAAAGTATATATAATTTAATTTGTTTTTTTTTTTTTATTGAAAGTATATTGAGATTGAGAAGATTGATTGGTACTTATGTTTAGGTACAACCAGAAAGTAAGAATTCTTACTTGTGTGTAGATCTACAATATGTATATTTAATAAACGCAATTAAAAATATTTAAATACTAAAAACAGGTATTTTCACTCAGAGCTAGTCAAAAAATAAGACATATTTTCACATATTTTCAAAGTAAACTTCTCACAGTTTGGTATCTTTTGTGATTGCCAAATCTCAGTCCAATGTGCCATTTCCCGAAGAAGTTCAGGTTTTTTATCACCAGAAACGACTGCATTACCTAAAATATTACATGCTGAATACTGACATTTAGAATTTGATAAAACCCACCACTTGTTAAATAATGTAAGAAAATCTGCACTACTTTTAAGATCTGGAAAATATGAGTGAATTGCTGCTGATTTAGTTTCATCAAAAATTGCAAGTGCTAAAGAAACATTTTGTTTAAAATTGCCAGGATGTAACACTTTCATTGTTATTTTTGGTGCTTTACGCAAACCAGCATCAAGAGTGAGGTCTTTTTCATAAATATTGTGGAAGGTACTCCATTTAATTTCTCCCCCACATACAATTATAGGATCTTTAAATCCATTAAAGTTAAAAGCTGGAAATAAAAATCTTTTGCAATTTAACAAATTATTTCTGATGTTTTTAATAAGATGTACAACATCAAAACAGAGGTAAATTTTTTTTAGATTGTAAATAAAAAACAAATCTTCAGCTTGTTGATTCGATGCACAAAGGATTTTTTTAAAACAAGAAACATTAGCAGAATGG